ACTGCCAGTACTAATTAATACTTTTGGTAAACATTGTCAATGCAAGAGCATACGCATAGATACACAACTGCATATATCAACACCTCAGCAAACAACTTCATTTTCAAAGGTGCTGACATTGCTTACATTGGAGGGGAAGAAGCAAGCTCAGTGCAGCTGAAAGAAAATAATGAAGCTGCTTTTCAAGTTTTTAGATGCAAAGCTAGCAGTGCTTAGAGTGTGAAGTGCAGGCCTTCAGAAACAAGACTGGCATGCACCACTGTGGGTTTCCTTCAGGACATTAGCATTCTCCTCTCCCTCACTGCTATTATCTCCCATCAGTGCAGAGCATTTGTTCTACTTTTCCAGCCATCGAACTGACTAGTCAGAGCACTGACAGTTGTCTCTACAGAGCCGCCAGACATCCCACAAAAGCTGTAGCACAGCACGAATGTATGGAACTTATTGGTCACATACTAGTCAGCAACACAACTCTGGGACAATTCCCCAAATCACTAGCATGTGCTATTCACAGCACACGTAGTACATTGCACTGCCTGAACTCCTCTGATAGAAAACAGCATTTACAAGCAGCTGCCCCAGCAGGACACAATGCAACAGAAGTTGCACGGCCCCCTGTGCTATAGCTGTTCCCGTAAAGAAAGAATTACTAGCTATAATGCCCATCTCTTCATAAGAAAATGTATTTCTGTTATACCAGATCTTTACAGTTGCTAGTTTCCTTCAAAAGTATTCAGAAAACAAATACACAATTCAAAGCTTCATTCAGTGACAAATGCTTCTCAACTTGGAAGCTTTTAGATCACAAAAGTGAAAAACAGTCATACTTTTTCGTTTGCATTGTTGCTTTCCCATTGACTGTAACAGTTACTACAGTTTATGATAAAGTACACTGTTATAGCATGGGATGAGAACAGAGTGGGATGAAGAGTCTCCCAAGCACTTTTGTGCTGCTACACACCTGAGTCTACCGAAAGCTGACATAGTCCTTTCGTGGCCGAGGCCTCCCCTAAGTCCAGCCAAGCAGATTAGTTTCTCAGGGAAATGTCCTGCCCAACCACAGTATTACGTGCTGTAGTGCCCCAAGCCAGTTCTGCCTACATTTACCTTGCATGTACGTAGGGCCGTAAAATAGGAATTATTTTACATCATAGGATTATTTTACATCATCCCGTACTTCCCAGAGAGGATTCACACCTGTCTTTTGGGGGGGGAGGAGTCATGTGTAAATGTCCATTATGAACAACGCAGAGCTTCTCATAAAGAGATCAAGGATTTAGATCTCATTGTGATTCTGTGATGAATAATTTAAAATAATAATTTCTGTTTATGGCCTAAGAACCAGCAAGTATAAAAACACTCAAAATACCCTTTATTACAAAAAATAAACTTTTTCTTTAATTTTCCTACCCATTCTCTGACAAAAGGCAGAAGACACTAGTCTCTACTGGCAAGAACATTAAGTGCAATAAAACCTGTGTAGTTGATAACATAATGCTGGAATTAGGGGCATGATCTAGGTCTGGCCTTGTAACTGAAGCTGAAAATTACAGAATAGCTGGTTTAGAGTATTGTAAAGCAGAAGGTATTTTATACCTGCATCTTTAGCACTTAGGCACAAGTATCATCTAGAATCAAATCTCAGCATATTCAGTGGGAGTGGAGATGCTCATGAACAGCACTTACAAACACTTACATAGAGCCCAAAGGAGAACAGGTTTGTTCCTTTCAAATAATTTCAAAGATTATCACACAGAAAGCTATTGTGTGCTAACCTGGACACTTTTCTCCATAAATAAGCAATATAAAAAGCCTTAACATTAGGGTAGACACGAGATGTCCGGAAACCAAAAATTAACTCAAATCTTGAAGACCGTGAATGACGTTAACAAAGCCATCATTGCATTATACAAAGTCTTTTGCAGCAGTAGAGGTTTAAGATATCCACCTACCCTGGGTTGTTCATTTCAGCTCACGCATCACCTTTTCCTGTCTCCATTCTGTCTGCTGCCTTGATTGCAGAAGCACAATTGCTTGTGGAACTGTTCTGTGAAACAGATTAAAACAGCGATCTGACTTTCTCTTTCTGCAGAGTCTATTTAAGTCAGTTTGGTTCCCTGACCTATTTCACAGAGTGGTACCACCTATATTTGTGTCAACACAACATCCTAAGGCTGTAGCTTTGTAAAAACTCGGACCTAGCATTATCATCCAGCACTTCCCTCCTCCAAACCCTTGTGCATTGCCCCATCATGTGCTGGTAGAAGCATCTGTGCAGCTACACAGAAAACTTATTTGGGTTAAAGCATCTTGATTTCCACTTGGTTAGTTTTAATCCATCAGTAACTCGGCCCTTGTCAGAACATAGCACCGCAACCACTTCTATCATCTGCTGGGAGAAGGGAGTACACGGTCTGTAAAAAAACAAGACTGAAACTACTTTCCCAGTGGTAGGGTGATGCCTTATGCAGGTGAAAGGATATCTGAAACTCAAGATACTAATCTGCAACTCTCAAGTTATATACAGGATGTAAATTCCTGAAGAGCAGTTGTGAGTTCTCAAAGAATGGCTACTTGATCAACAGCAGCACTACCGAGCACCTGAATAATTGGATAATTCCTAATTGGAAGAGGACAGGAAGCATTAGCACTAGGATTTTAGCATTTATGGCCATAGCCAGGTTAGAATTTACCCATCTTAGAAGATGTGAATGTTGCTTGGAAGGACCAAGTATTTAGACTTGATTCTATTTAACCATGTACCTTGAGTGACGTAGTATCTACTTCAACATTTGTCATGTGATGACAAATGCTGCTGTATGTAGCTACATGATCCAGACTTCCAGCAAATTACTTTTGAATCTCAACAGACCTGTATCACTGAGTCATTCAGTATAGTTATTAGCTCATTAAAAGCCTATTGCACTTATTTTCTCATAGTGCAAGTGCAATTCTAATTGTCCTGTGCTCAGAAGAACCTAGTAAGGCCTAAAACTAAGTACTCATTTACTACATTCCCTCATCTGAAAAATAATTCAATTAAGTACAAAAAGCGAAAGACCAAACATTATGAAGTCCTATTTTTCACAATGTTAGTATAAGAAGTTTCATTCTCTCTTGACAAGTGCTACTGCAGTTTAAATCCTGACACATAGTAAACTATGAATTTGATTGTTTTCGTTAACAAATTACTTTTTTCACAGAAAGCATCAAGGCTGTAATAAGAGGGCTCCTGAAATAAATGTGACTAAGCAGCAGGAGTTAATTAAGTAGGACAATGAGTAAGCATTTATGGGTGTGATAGGAGACCCAGCTGATTTAATTGCTAGTCTAATTATCAATTACAGAATGAAGCAATGACATGTAAGTGAAATATTCTATTTGCTGATAGTTTAGAGACCCAGAAGAACAGTATTAATTGCTATTTTAGGACTACAGAAGGGTTTTTTTTTTCTCCTCTTACTCAAATAGAGGTTCTTAGTACTTCTAAAATGACTAATAAATGTGTATACAGTCTTCTCATACTCAAATATTTAAGGCCTTTAGATCCTTCACTCTATAAAAAAAAAACCAAATAAAAAGCTAGCAATTAAGCATTCAAACACACTACCTATAAACCACTCAGCTTAGGTCAAAACCTTTCTGCATTTATTTTATAATAAGGATAATAACTGTCCAATGGTGTGAAAAAGTCACATTAACTATTTACAGTGTGTTTGCACAAGCCATTTTCCAGACAAAAAGAAAAAGGTCAGGGAACTATTTAAACCCATAAGGGCAAAGAGCCAGTTGGCTACATTAATTGTTGAAATGTTTTATAAGGCAACTGCAAGAAAATAAAATTACAAAAAACTGATGGAGAGCCAAAAATATTAATATATTGGAATACAGTGAACTTTTTACAAGCTGTAAATATCTTTTGGGTTCTCACATATAACCCATAAAGTATGTTGAGGTCTTTCTGAGAACTTCTAATATTAGCATGTAGTTTGTAAAGAACATCTACCAGAAAGAGCTCAGAAAGACACTGTATGACACAAGACCAATGTTATTGCCCACTACAATTACCGAAAGATAATTTTGCTGTATATCAAGGGGACCTAGAACTGGAGATAGAAGGTTAAAAAACTACGAAACAGAAGCAAACACCCACCATAGCACAAACGGTCTCAGCTTTGGACATGTTAGCAAGCTGATTCTTATCAAAATAAAAAAACCAGCATCCTTCAACTGCTTTTCATGTCCATTACAAGCAATTAAAAATACTGCAGGTTTTTAGCTGTTTAACAACTCCCTTGTCCAGGTTTAAAATAGACTGTTAACAACTCAGTATCCAGAAAGGTGTCCAACTATTTGTTTTCTGCTAAGGTGAGCCTAGCTAATCAGTAAATGATAGAGTTTAGACAAGACCTCTTCCTCTGAGATACAGCTAACTCCTCAAGCAAGGTAACAGCTTCTCATCAGCTTAATCCAAACAGGTTTTCCTGCTG